ACACACACACACACACACACACTCACACACAAACGTACACGGACATACATACATACACACACACATACACATGAATCATATTGCATACTGGAAGAAGTCGATTTTTACTTTCCGCTAACGCACTTACAGTATAATTTCATCCGAGTAAAAGTACTCCCGTTGGGGTGTATTTTTTTCTCTGAGATAAGCTGTAAGAGGATGTATGGCTTTCCACATTGAACGTGGACATTAAGCAAACTATGTCGACCCTCCAATGAAGACTTTGTGGGACATTGTGGATGAAACCACACACACACACACACACACACACACACACACACACACACACACACACACACACACACACACACACACACACACACACACACACACAGCAAACAAACTAACAGACAAACACACACATACGTACACACAGACAGGCACATTCACACATCACTCACTCTCGTGCCGCATTTGAGGATTCATCTTGCAGTCTTAAATTCAAACACTCTCATACGAAATAAATATATCTTCCTCTTCCCACTCCCTCTCACCCTCTGTTTCTCATTTCTCATACACTCTCTCGTGTGCAGTCCCTTTGTTTATCGTTGCTGTTTGTATCAACTAACATTTCCTTTCTGTCATGAGGATCATCGGACGTTGGCCTTTGTGGTTTATTTTCTCCCTTTTTTCCGATTCCTTAATAGCCATTCTTTCATTGCAAAAAGAAAAGTCCGCCCTGTAAGCTTGATGGTGAGCAACCACTTACTGTTTCTCCCACAGAAGACGTGAGTTCGAATTTCATGTGGGTGAATTTTTGTCGAAAATTCCGTTTTTCAGCTGGTTTAAACAGCCCACCGCATGAGTTACTTCATAAATGGGCGCAAACATTCTACCACTACTGTTTTTTTTTCTCAGAACCGCGTCGTTGTTGTAGAGATTTTGGCTCTTCGCTTTTGAACGAAGAAGATGTGAGTTCGATTCCCACACCGGGAAATCTACTCTGTCAAGTAGTGTGCCCGTCTTGAGCTGAGCTTCTGCTTCTTTATGAGCCTTTTGCATCTATCTGCTGGAACGACATGTCGCACACAGCCTGGGTAGGCAGGATCGAAGCAGGAAGGGTCCTTCCTTATCGAGGCGGGTACGATTTACTGAGCTCATGACTCACTGTGACGTTGCTGGCTGCCACAGACCTTGCGTGATGTTGGGTTCGGGCTGATAGTGATAGTGATAGTGTCGCGTGGATTCATTGTGGACTCAGCATGGACTGCTGGTGTATATTATTTGGATGAATAATTTGTCGGAGTACAGTTACTGTTATATTATGCGGGTGAAAAGTAGGCCGAGGACCCTTGCCAATATTATGCTCGACGCTACGAAGCGTTCGTTGACACGTTCAAAAATATTAATAGTGTTGTTTTAAAGTTTGGAATTAATGATTTTAAAACCGATTTTTTACTATGCGTTTTAAAATACATGTACTTCTACCATTCTGATTTGCAAAATAAAACCAAGATGTGCTTTGAACTAACGTGAAAACAACCAACTTATTTTCCGCGCCCTCATATGACCTTATAATGCAGTTGCGAATGCCTCAAAACTTTTATCAAAGCAAAGGTCTACTCTTTTCAGTTCAGTGAAAGATGAAGTCGTTAAATTTTGTTGTGTGATCTACCATTACATCATTTCCTACGCGTCTTCGATATTCTTTGCGCAGATCACGCCGCCCTCTTTGCTCCAACCCTGGGCGACTCGAGGGATGTCGCAACAACATTGACTGCGTCAGATCCTCTATGACACGGAAGTGGGTTTTTTAAAGGTTTTGACGGTATCTCAAAAGAGGCGGGTTTTTTTTCTTTTCTAGAAACGAATTTCACAAAACAATCATATCATACTGACCTATTCTTGACACAAATTTCCCAAAACAGTTCTGTCATACTGAGCTATATTGCTCAAAGCTCAGCAGCGTTTGTGGTGTAGCGATTAGTCACTTCGCTTTCGCACGTAGGAGACCGTAGGTCATTTCTCGAGTACTCGTAGGAATAAATCTTATCGATTATCTCGATCTTTCTGCTGGGAGGTTGATCCCACTCAGCCCGGGGTAGCCGTGACTGGCAGGGTCGGAAGCCCGTCTCCAAAATGATCTGAATTGTGTAGAAGGGGACGTGGAAAACCTGTAATATAATACCAAGCTGAGTCCTCGAAACCTTCCGGTCTCTCAATAGGAGAGGAAGTAATTTAAACAAAATACACAGCAGAAATACCTCCCTAACACGTAAATACCTCCTGCAGGGAAAGGACTAAGCATCAATTTTATGTCGGATGCGATGACGATTTTACGACCTAGCGCATCCTAATAGTAATAGAATGTCCGGACTTTGGAAAGACCCAAAAGAAAATATTTGAAATACACTAATGTAATGGGGAAGGGTACACCTGAGAGTCCCGATTCGGGTCAGAATTATCGATTTTCATATGTGGGCATTTTGGGCTTCTTCAACCTCAGTGACAACCATCCGTTTTCTTAAAACACTGATTTCTTTTCTATATACTTTTTGAATAACTCCATCATTTTCACTAAACCTTACGCCCCTTAAATAGCCTAATAGTGTTGATAGGGGCGTTAAACCCATACCAGTTCACCATTTTCACCAAACCTTCAAGAAATTTTCACAGAATGAAGAGATGGAATAACACTTCAAAATGGTCTGTTTAATATAGGGAATAGACTTTTGTTGGTGATGTCTGGAGCGTGGACTTTCACTGATTTTTTTGCAACCATGATCATTGAATTCGCAAAACGTCCTCTAATTTGTTTCGGAGAAATTTAACAAACTATTTTTTAGAACTATTGTTTGCTAACATGTATACCAAGTTACAACTATTTCCATTGAAAATAATTGAGATATTAAGAAATGTCATCAATATCCAATATGGCCGCTGTCTCCATGGCAACGCAACTTTTCTGTTTTAAATTTTGATTGCAAATTTGAAAACTCTTCACTATGCTTGTTATATACGTGAAATTCGGTAAAAGTTGATCGTCAGATAAACGAGACAACCCTCAATCAATCGCTTGTCAACTATCCAGCCGATAAAAAAAGACCGGCGCCGCCGCTCTTGTCCAGTGAACGAACCGCCCCTGGAAATAAGAACAACACATACAGATTGAGTAACAACAATATTTTGTTTATTGAGAACAATGTACAATATATCTACAAGTGTGCGTTATTATAACTGTATTCCAAACAAAAGGAAAGTTTAATTAAGCTTCAGGGAGTTTAATGTATGATTTTGAGCTGTACTTCCCATCACATTCGATTGGTCTTTATCAGTGAATGTGAGTCACACATGGCCTACATCAGGGACTATTTTTGGTCATAGTTTGATGCCCTCAAAATCAACATAATTGTCAAATCAAAGGCAGAGAACTCAATCTTTTCATGAAAAACACCGAGATGATGGGTGGCGTAGACGTGAACTCAGGTGCTCGACAAATTAATGAAGTCATTAGGGTAGATTTCTGAAAGCCGAGCCGAGTAATACCTGTTAAGGTAGATCTGCAAGTGGAATGAAACTGATATAGCATTTTCACTTTTCACGTTTTTGCCCAAGTTTCTTTTCCCGCGACGACTGGGAGTAAATTCGCACACATCACGCACACATCTGGCATGTATCATGTACATATCTGTCGTGTATCAGGCGACGTATCTGTAATGTATATGTTATGTATGTATCTTGCGACGTGTGTGTCATGTAATAATAATACGAGTAATAAATTAAATAGCATTAGTATAGCGCGTATTCCCGTTCGACAGCAAGCTCTATGCGCTTTACACTATAATATTATATATCAGTTACGTATCTGGCGACGTATCTAGCACGTATCAGTCACATATCAGTCATGCATGTGTTATGTATCTGTCTTGTATCTGTTATGTATCTGCCATGTATCTGCGATGTATCTGTCACGTATCTGTCATGTTTCTATTATGTATCTGGCGACGTCGTATCTGTCATGTATACCGAGTTGCCAAAGTTCTGTCACACCCATTATATTACGATAATTTTCGGTATAGCGTAAGAATTGCAGTAAAATTTAAAAGTATGGCTTGTGGGACTTATGAGACTTCTTGGGCAAGAGCAGACCAAAGAATTCATAAACCGGAAGTAGTACGTGGAGAAAGTGTTGGTATTGATTTCTCGCGGTCTGTGTTGAAATCCTACACACAAAATTTGCTTTGAATCACGTAGACAATGTGTAAACACACCTTACACACAAGAAAATTATGTGCTTTTTAACTGTTGGGTACCCTTTGCTCCTGTTTCCAAAATTTTAAAAATGATAAATTCAGAAAATATAGGGGCTGTATGTATGATGCATTCTTTAATTGCGCTTTCTGCTGTTGCAAGACACGTAACTGTTTGCAGAGGAACCATCTAACGCTTGAACAAACGTTTTAACACCACTAGAACTGCCCAAGACAAGCCGAGACGTAGCCAACAAAGAGCGACAACTCGACATCAGAATTCGGTTATTGTCAACACCCATTTTTAAAACCCATTCCAACTTAGTGCAGAGACTGCCAGGCACTTTGGACTGTCTTGAAACATCATTATTAGACATTTATTAGATCGTGGATTACGTGATTATCGCCCTTTATATGGAGCCATTCTAACCCTGTTTCAGAGAAGAAATCGCCAGATTTTGGCACAACATTGTCGATGAAGCTAAAGACGTTGGTAACGTGTTCTTTTCTGCAATTGTTAAGGTTTTTAATTTGTCGCATTGATGGAAGAGAAAAAATGTTTAAAAGAAGAGAATAGAAATTTCACAAATCCAACGTCCCTCAAGAGGCCCGAAGGTGGCTGAAATGTGATGGTAGGGGGTGGAATCTCTGCTTTTTATCTTATACATTTAGTTACTTTTCAAAGCAACTTCAAATAACGACATTATTGTGACGAAATTCTACGTCACAGTGACTGCGCTACATGGCACGGATGCTGGAATGTGCTAACAAGACAACGCCGGACGACAAATGGCTACGATCAATGAAAACTTCTTCCAAACTCATCAAATCGTTGTTCTGGACTGGTCTGCAGGATCCACAAGCCATAACCCAACAGAACATCAGTAAGATGACCTTGACAGGAGGATTAGAAACAGGCCGCACTCCGTACAAACTGGTCAGGAACTGAAGGCTGCACTTCACAAGGAATGGCAGGGGATTTTTCAGACAACTATAAGGACTTCAATTCAGTCAATGAACAGATGTTTTGTATCAGTAATTCAAGCTGGAAGAGGCCACACGCCATACTGAGCAAACTTTGATTTGGATTTTGCAAGAGTCATTGTGAATAAAACTATCTCCCTTGAATAAGGAAAGACATTTGTCAAATCTTTTTATGTCGTGTCAGCAGAAAATGAATAAAGATCGCATGTACCAAATTTCTCTTGGCTATATTGAGCAGTAAATGAGTTATTGTACTTTTAAGGTGGGTGTGACAGAACTTTTGCAACTCGGTATATTTGGTGTGTATCTGTCAGGTATCTGTCAGGTATCTGTCAGGCATCTGTCAAGTGTTTGTCTCGTATATGTCATGTATCTGTCATGTATTTATTACGCATCTTTCAACATTTGATGCCGTCGTGAAAGGGAGGGGGGTTGGTGTGTGGGGTGAGGGAGGCAGTGGGGTCGCAGTCACGTGATTATATGAGCAAGGAACAGCGGGCTGTGGTGTGATGAGCGGAGTGGCGGTGTGTTTGGGTGAGGCGTATACATTTGACTGTTTAATTCCATTCGACACTTAATCATAATTTTCACTTTTCTTGCGATCAGAAATATTATTATATCAACATCTACGCATAGGAAATAATTATAAACACAGGGTACAGATAAACTTGCTCTAATATCCAAATGTCCAAGGCAACCACCTGTACAAATGACCCCCCCCCCCACCCCTTTTGCGTTTTTTTCTTCTATACATGTGTTATAATGGCAACTACCAAGAAAGCCACATGTTTCAGACGACCACTTTTCTCCTCCACAAGGGACGGTCGTCTTAGACAGTTCGTGCACGTTTTTACGTCGATTACGTTTGTTTCAACACACGTCTGATTCCGGTGAGCCGTGTCCGCTAGAAGTCAAAGAGGGGCGTCTTCTCTTGTGTGCAGGACCAGCAGCGTCTTCATGAGGTGAGTGTGAGATGGAGGTTGCGTGTTTGTTGTTGTGTTTGTAGGTGCGTTTGTTGGTGTGTTTGTTGCTGTGTTGTTTGTCTGTGTGCTGTTTCTGTCGTTCCGTGTCCTGGAGAAGTTGCCGTAGTCCCCGGATGTAGTCGATAGCGTGACGTAGTGTCTCCACCTGAGTAAAAAGGGGAAGGGGTGGGATAGAAAGAGAAACATGGTTGTAACAAAGAGGACTATCTGCTGACATAAATTACTGTAGCTCCAAGAGCAATTGCACAGTGCTCGTATTTGAAGCCTTTGAAGATAGATACTATTGTGTTATTTATTCTTCGGGCATAAACCATTTAATTAACTAATTATTGACACCTGCACATGAGGTGAGTTGGGGCTTTTCGCGTTTGATCGCAGAAGACATAAGGATTCCCGTGTAGGGAATTTGGTTTTTTTTCATCACGCGGGGGCTCCATGGGTGATTGGCGGGTGCTCTAGTATGGATTGGTTCTTCTTTACTATCAAACATCTATTGTCCTTATCTCTCGTACTTTTTGTGTGTGTTACTCTCTTGTAACACATCTATTCTTCGGCACTTATATGACCTTATTATGTTGCAAGTGCCGTAAAACTCATACTAAAACTTTTTAAAAGTTCTTTACCCTTCGGGCATAAACCATGTAAAGCCTAATTACTGACACCTGCACATGTAGTGCATTGGGGCTCTTTCCGATTGGATACAGAAGACGTGAGTTTGATTCCCGTGTAGGGAAGTAGTTTTTCTTTGTGGGTGGTTGGCGGGTGCCCTGTTGTGGTTTGCTTTTTCTTTCCTATCAAACATCTATCGCCCTTATCTTCCCTCCTTCTTTTTACTGTTTGTTACTCTCTTGTAACGCCTCTAATCTTCTGGCGCTCATATGACCTTATGCAGTTGCGAGCGCCGTAAAACCTCTACTAAAACTAAACTAAAAGTTTTTCTTTCATTAAGCGGGGGCTCATGGTCTAGAGGTACGGTGTTCACCTTTTCATTCAGCAGGTCCCGGGTTCGAAACCTTAAGGCGACGAAATATGTATCTCTATAGTTTTTTCTTTTCATCTCCTTTCATGGTCTCTACTCATGTCCATTTTAAAATTTACTATCATCTCCACTTTCTGTCCCATCATCTCTTTTCACCCCCTCCTATGGGTTCCTGGCCCATTCTACTGATACTTCTAGTTCCTTCTTACTGCTGTCTTTCAGCTCACCCTGGCCTGATGATAGATAAAATCCAACACATAGCCTTCTCGGATAAGGGCGAAACGTCTTGGAGGTCCCATAATGCAAGTTGCGCACGTTAAAGATCACTTTAGTGGTCCAAAAATCGATCAGCGTAGGCTTTAACCGCCATCTGAGCAAAATTCAAAATCTTCTACATGTACCAAAACTGAAAATTCTCTAGTCAGTATAAAAACGTGTAGAGTGCCTTCAAAATCAAAATGAGGCTGCCTGATGGCAATGGGCCCTACGAAGTAGAAAAAAACTGCCACATACGTAAAAATCTGTTGCACTGAAAGGCTGAAGAACCAGCAGTCGAATGCCCCTGACATGTATAGCGCGGGGGCGCAAAGAAGACGCTTCCCTTAATTCAGGAACCCCCTATCAAGCATCTCTGTCTCCCTGTCTGGTGAGGTGGTACATGGCACCTAACTCAAGTAGGTCCTAACATGCAGGTTGGAAACAATCTTCCTCGAAAATGTTCTAAATTGCGCCACGACGTTGTGGAATCGGGCGCTCGTCAATTTTGGGGCATATGAAGTTATTGATATAATCCGAAGCTTTTTCATTTGCCTTGCTTTCAATGACAAAAATATATTTCTATCTTGAAAAGAATTCGAAATATCTGGGATTGAAGGAGGTCCAGGTCGCCTCGTTTCAGAGACCGTGTTATGAGTTGTGCCTTTGAATGGTTTTGTAGTGGAGTAGTGAAAGTTATTACTTGATTGGTCAGCTCCAATACAGGATGAACGCAAGTGATGTTTAGGTAACAAACAAATTTAATACTAGAAATTAAAGCGACAAGTAAAAAGAATGAAAATACAAACACGAAGTCCTCCCTCACCAACCCAAATTTTAAAATTATACACCGTCACATTTACTATGCCCTTGACTATTCTCAGCATGCGATAGCTTAATTGTGCACGTCCACTTTTTAGCCCCACGTGCCGCCCCGGAACGTAATGTACTTAAAACATCTTTGTGATTCACCAAACTTACTTTACTAATGCGCCTGTCTTTGTTTCCCAGCGGTAAATGCTCCTTGAGACGATCGTAACCCTCGTTGACACACCTGACCCTTTCCCGCTCCCGCTCATTGCGCCTGCGCACAAAAGTAGGCTCTGTCATGTGACCCGGCAGTGGTACCATGCACACGGGGGAGTAGGGGTCCACGCGGTATGTCTGGCTCTCATACCTAAGGAT